AACTGTTTAGGGCCAACCTGCCTCCCATTCTATTCAAAGTCACCTCTCTGCTCACTGAGATAAGTGCAAATCTGACTGCCTCCTTTGGAGAGGCTAATGAGAAACACAAAAGAATGCAACCATTTGTCTCTTATCTACCTATGACCTGGAAGCCCCCTCCCTGCTTTGAGTCTTCCTGCCTTTGCTTCAAGGGGTCCCGCCTTTCCTTCAAGCTGTCCTGCCTTTCCAGACCAAACCAATGTACTTCTTACATATGTTGATTGATGTCTCATGTCTCCCTAAAATGTATAAAACTAAGCTGTGCCCCAACCACCTTGGGCACATGTCGTCAGGACCTCCTGAGGCTGTGTCATGAGCACATCCTCTACCTTTGCAAAATAAACTTTCTAAATTAACTGGGACCTGTCTCAAATTTTTCTGGGTTCAACACGCCTTTGCCTCGAGTTGTCCCACCTTTCCGGACTGAACCAATGTACATCTTAACACATATTGATTGATGTCTCATGTCTCCCTAAAATGTATAAAACCAAGCTGTGCTCTGATCACCTTAGACACATGTCATCAGGACCTCCTGAGGCTGTATCATGGGTGCACGTCCTCAACCTTGGCAAAATAAGCTTTCTAAATTACCTGAGACCTGTCTCAGATTTTCGGAATTCACAATCTCCACTCTTCACCAAACCTACTATAAAAAACGCTCAGCTTTAACTGTTTCTTTGGGTCTTCATTTTCTTATGAAGGTTCATGTGTCACATAAAACTTTAAAAAATTTGTACACTTTTCTCTCATTAATCTGTCTTCTGTTATAGGGCCTCAGCCATGAACTTAGAATGGGAAGAGAAAAAAAATATTTTTCCTCCCGTACACTTTTTTTTTTTTTTTGAGACAAAGTCTCCTCTGTTGCCCAGGCTGGAGTGGCATGGCGGTCTGGGCTCACTACAACCTCCACCTCCCAGGTTTCAAGCAACTATCCCTGCTCAGCCTCCCGCACTAGCTGGGACACAGGCGCGTGCCACCACACCTGGCTAATTTTTTTCTGTTTTTTAGTAGAGACGGGTTTCACCATGTTGCCCAGGCTGGTCTGAACTCCCTGACCTCGTGATCCACCCTGCCTCGGCCTCCCAAAGTGCTGGGATTACAGGCAGCACCCACACCAGCCTCTACACGTTTCAAGTATCTTACCTGATTTCTTTTTTTTTTTTTTTTTTTTTTTTGAGACAAGTCTTGCTCTGTCGCCTGGGCGGAGTGCAATGGCCGGATCCAGATCACTGCAACCTCCGCCTCCCGGTTGATGCCAATTCTACATGCGCTCAGCGCTCCTAAGTGACTGGGACTAGCAGGCGCCCGCCACCACAAGCGCCCGGCTAATTTTTTGTATTTTTTCAGTAGAGACCGGGTTACACAACGTTGTTAGCCAGGTTGGGCGCGATCTCCCTGACCCTCGTGATCCGCCCGTCTCGGCCTCCCAAAGTGCTGGGATTACAGGCTTGAGCCACCGCGCCCGGCCATATCTTACCTGATTTTCTATGGCACCTTTGGGTTGCAGAACCTTAGCTGTAGGAGAAATGGTGGTGAGGGCCAATGTCTGGCACTGACTTTAACAGAGTACAGATGTGTATGTTAGTACTTATTTTAACAAAATAGAAAGTGCAAGAAGGAAACACATCAACAAAAGTGACAATTAGATTGGAAGGGACCCATTCTTATTTGCTTGTTTGTTTTCTCCATAAGCCATCTAGCTCTTTTTTTTTTTTTTTTTGAGACAGTCTCACTCTGTCTCCCAGGCTGGAGTGCAGTGGCGCCATCACAGCTCACCTCAGCCTTGACCTCCCAGGCTCAAGTGATCCTCTCACCTTAGCCTCTCGAGTAGCTGGGAGTATAGGCATGCACTACCATGCCCAGCTAATTTTTTTTTTTTATATTGCCAAGCTAGTGATCCTCCTGCCTGAGCCTCCCAAAATGTTGGGATTATAGGCATGAGCTACCATGCCCAACCCTAACTCCATTCTTAATTGTCACTTAGCCTACACTTTCACTTGATTGACATTTGTAGGCTGACATCAAGCAGATGAAGATAGCATTGAAACAGTGCCACTATTCACCCAACTGTCCTGTCAGTCAGGAAAAGCACATCCCCACTGGGTCTCAGAGCTCTCGGCCCATTGTCTTTGCACTGTGTGACCACACACAAAACCAGGTAAAATGTTGACCTGCTTTGTTCAGGAGGCTGTCCTTGGCTCTCTAGTTTCTGATGGGACCCCATTTTACACTCTCTCTCAAGCCCCCTTATCCTTGTTCTTTGATCGTGTCATAGCCTCTAAATATATCACAATTATTAATATAATTAAGTACTTATTTCCCTCTATAGGGAAATTTGTTTAAAGCCTGCCTTCCCCCAAGAGGTGGTCAGGTCTGAAGGCAGGTTTATTACAGACAACAGGCTCTTGGGCCCATCATGTAATAAAAATTAACATGGGGACAAGCAGATTTCTCAGACAAGGCTTTTATCTTGGGGCTTGTGCTCGAGTGCAGGGGAGACACCAGACGTACAAGGACCCTCAAGCTGACTCCCTGAAAAGGTGGTAGGGATTTTTTTATTAGGCAAACACAGGAATTGGTATCATGGGTAGGGTATGCAGGCTGGCCTGTGCAAAGCACCTAATGGGTAGGGGACGCTGGTTAGCATATCTAGTTGTGATGGTTATCTTGAGTAATGGGCCACCTGGGGGTCTGGCCAGCAGTAATGAGGCTGCAAGTGAATTGTTCAGGGTTCCTTCCCTTCCCATGATGGGACACTCTGCAACCTCAGTTTGATGTTTAGATTTCCTAAGGCCAGTTCCTGGAATTCTTTTAAGTAAAAGGCATGGTTAAACATTATGAGAGCACAGAAGAATGGCTATTTTCTTTGTAAGCCTAAAGCCTTATCTAAAACCGATTGTCAGCCAGGCAGTGGTGTGGGTCTTGTGATCAGTGAGGCAAGAAAAGGAGAAAAAAAAATATGTGAAAAAGGAACTGAGTTCCTTTTCTATTCTGTCTGAGGTTACTCCCCACTGCACCCCCGGCACCTGACACTGTGAGAGGCATTTGAACCAGAGTGACTCCATCTTGAATAGGGGCTAGGTGAAATGAAGCTGAGACCTACTGGGCTGCATTCCCAGGAGGTTAGGCATTCTTAGTCACAGGATGAGATAGGAGGTTGGCAGGACTGGTATCACAAGATACAGGTCATAAAAACTCTGACCATAAAACAAGATGCGGTATAGAAGCCAGCCAAAACCAAGATGGTAACAGAAGTGACCTCTAGTCATCCTCACTGCTCATTATACTCAAATTATAATGCATTAGTATGCTTAAAGAAATTTCCACTAGCACCATGACAGCTTACAAATGCCATGGCAGTGTTCAGAAGTTACGCTATGTAGTCTAAAACGGGGAGGAACCCTCAGTTCCAGGAATTCCCCACCCCTTTTCCAGAAAACTCATGAATGATCTACCCTTTATTTAGCATATGATCAAGAAATAACCACAAGTATACCCGCAGCTCGTGCCGCTGCTGTGTCTATGGAGTAGCCATTCTTTTGTCTCTTTTACTTCTCTAATAAACTTTATTCTATGGATTTGCCCCACATTCTTTCTTGCGTGAGATCCAAGAACCCTCTCTTGGGGTCTGGATTGGGACCCCTATTACCATGCCTGGCTCAAGAAACATTTGTTGAGTAACGATTTATAGTAACTTTCTATGTGCTCCTGTCTCACTCTCGTTCCAGTACCTGTATTCTAAACAGCCATGCTACTGTCCTTCTGTGCCTCCCTACATTCCAAGTTCAAGGAGACAGGATGGTTTATTGTTTCTTAAGTGCTCGTCCTTGTCTTTCTGGTCCTGTTTACATGCATCATTAGCCCACAGGAAAGCACTCTGTTACAAGTGACTTTAGAAATCACAATCATTAAAATTGAAAACTTCCATTTAAGCCAGACTGACTACCCCTTTGTGATGTTAAAAGTGTTGCCTCTGAGCTTCCAAACCCCTCTCTATGAGGCCTATTCCAGCTTTTAACCTACCGTGCATGTGGGCTTTTCATTTGGAGCCTCTTGTGATCTTCAAGCTGTAATTTTAGCAAGCAGGGCCCTAAAGCTCTTTAATTTTTTTGTTTACCAGAATTACTCATTACATTTTTGTATGGGCTTGGTAGATGAATTTTCTGTGGCATCTTAAAAAATAAGGCCGTAATACCTTATGGCATTAAAAAAAAGTAGGGGAGGGGGTGGGCAAAACCACCACAAATAAATTAACTGAACAATTAAAATATTTAAATTAGTATTAGAAAGCTTAACTGTAAGCTACAACTAAGTCATCTCAAGCACATCCAACAGAAAAAATTAGAAAGTATACTAGATAAGAATGTCAGGGAATGGGGTAAGGACTGGGGGAGGTGAAGGAGGTGCAGGGCTGGATCCTGTCTTTATTTGAAAATTTGATATTGTGTTCAAATGTGAATTTTTTCATTTTGATTTTTTTTTTTTTTGAGACGGAGTCTTGCTCTTGTCACTCAGGCTGGAGTGCAATGGTGGGATCTCAGCTCACTGCAACCTCCGCCTCCCGGGCTCAAGCAATTCTCCTGTTTTAGCCTCCCGAGTAGCTGGGATTACAGGCATGGGCCACCATGCCCGCCTAATTTTTGTATTTTTAGTAGAGACGGGATTTCACCATGTTGACCAGGCTGGTCTCGAACTCCTGACCTCATGATCTGCCCGTCTTGGCCTCCCAAAGTGCTGGGATTACAGGCATGAGCCACGACACCTGGCCTAATTTTGATTTTTTTAAATAATATTGCATTAAAATATTACTGATCCTTCTTCAGAAGTTAGAATTACATATGACACAGCAATTCCACTCCTAGGCATACACCCCAAAAGAATTAAAAACAGGCACTCCAACAAACATTTGCATGTGATTGTTCGAGTATTACTATTCACAATAACCAAAAGGTGGAAACAAATTGTGGTATATTCATACAATGGAATTTTATTCAGCCATAGAAAGGAATGAAGTTCTGACACATGCTACAACATGGGTAAACCTTGCAAACATCATGCTAAATGGAAGCCTGACTGACCAGGGGCTCTTAGTCTTTCAATGCAATAGAAATTGACATGGGGCCAAAAGACTTTTCCCAGACAAAGCACGCGAAGGGTAGAGGATATAGGTTAGCATCATCCGGTTGTGATGATTATCTCGAGTAATGGGTCACCGGGTGGTCTGGCCAGCAGCAACAAGGCTGTAAATCAATTAATTATTCAGCATTCCCTCCCAAGATGGGACACTCTGCAATCTTGGCTCCCTATTTTGGATCTCCTAAGGCCAGTTCCTGGAATTGTTTAAGTAAAAGACATGGTTAAGCATTATGAGAGCACAGAAGAACAATATAGAAAGGCCATTTTCTTTGTATGGCTAAAGCCTCGAGGTTAGCAGGTATGGTGTCAATGAGGTAGTAGTATGGGTTTTATGATCAGTGGGAATGCATGAAAAAATGCTCTAGTGGAGATGAGCCAAAGCCAAGCCCCCTTCCTACTGTCTCAGAAGAAGCTAGACACAAAAGACCACATATATTGTATAATTCCACTTACATGAAATATCCAGAATAGAAAAAGCCACAGAAATAAAAAGGAGATCAGTGGTTGCCAGTGGACAGGTGGAGGGGAAAATAGGGAGTGACTGCTAGTGTGTACAGGCATTTATTTTGGAGTGATGAAAATGTTTTGGAAATAGCTAAAGGTGGTGGTTGCTCAGCATCAGTGAATGCAACCAAATTGTTCACTTCAAAATGGTTAATTCTATGTTATGTGAATTTCACGTCGATTAAAATGTATATATACAGGTTGAGCATCCCTAATCTGAAAATCCAAAATCCAAAATGCTCCAAAATTCCAAAATTTTTGAATGCCAACATGATGCTAGAAGTGGAAAATTCCATACCTGATCTCATTCCAGAAATCATAGTCAAAATGCAGTTGAAACTCTGTTTCATGCACACAATTATTTAAAATATTGTATAAAATTACCTTTAGGCTATGTGTATAAGGTGTATATGAAGCATAAATGAATTTCATGTTTAGTCTTGAGTCTCATTCCCAAGATATCTCATGTATATGCAAATATTCCAAAATCTGAAATTCAAAACACTTCCAGCCCCAAGCATTTCACATAAGGGATACTCAAACTGTATTACTGATCTTGATTCCTGAGTTTTTTGGAACCCCCTTAAATTTTGTGTCTGAGGCAAAGCATTATACCCCCAAGTCTTGGACCTATTCAATTTTACTTTTACCAGGTAATAAACAGGGTAAGAAACCGAAATGATCTTGGACCACACACAAATCTGTGGCTCAGTTCCAGGTAACACAGTGACTCATTTTCTTACTCAAAATTACTTACGGCATGTTCCCTGCCATCCTTTCCATACATCACAGCAAAGGCACGGTGACCTGGACTCTTGCTCGTCATCCTAACATCCTGATCCACTGGACAAAATATGAACACACTTTCTCCCCAGCGAGGTTGTTGGGAAAAATTTAATCAGCTACAGATATTTAAGTACCAAAGGCTGCCTCTGGAGGGAAAAGAAAACTACCCCTCTGGTTCTGGTTCACAGAAGTATGTATTATCAGATTCCCTGTGAGGCTTTACATCTCATGTTTGCCGGAGAACAGAGGGATTCTATAAGAGTGTAGTGATTTCTTCAGATAGTTCCTTCATCTTGCCTTCAATTATTTCAGATGCTTAAAAGAAAAGAATATAAATATTAGCAACACCAGGAACGGAATAATACAAGTATTTCAATATCTCCAGCTAACCTCTGGACCATTTCGACTTGCTCCAAAAGATCTCCATGTTTGAGGAAAAACTAAATAGACACAGCTTTGCATCTTCCCTGATGAACATGAAGAGATCTCACAGGAAAGCAATGAACGCTTTACAAGTCTTCCAAAAGCTGCTGTCTCTGCTAAAGAACAACTTATAAAAGTGAAGGCCTGCCATAATGCCTAGGGCAATCCAGGCACTATCTGCCACTGAGCATAAATTTACTGAAGCTATCCAGGCTGGTATTCTAATAGTGCATAATAGAGCAATAGAAAAATAAGCTGCCCTTGGATACTAAGCCTGTCTCTTGCATCTCCCTACAAAGAAATAAAATACTATTTTATTTGGCCGGGCGCGGTGGCTCAAGCCTGTAATCCCAGCACTTTGGGAGGCCAAGACGGGTGGATCACGAGGTCAGGAGATCGAGACCATCCTGGCTAACACGGTGAAACCCCGTCTCTATTAAGAAATACAAAAAAAAAACTAGCCGGGCGAGGTGGCAGGCGCCTGTAGTCCCAGCTACTCGGGAGGCTGAGGCCGGAGAATGGCGTGAACCCTAGAGGCGGAGCTTGCAGTGAGCTGAGATCCGGCCACTGCACTCCAGCCTGGGCGACAGAGCGAGACTCCGTCTCAAAAAAAAAAAAAAAATACTATTTTATTTTATTTTATTTCATTTCATTTTATACAAATCCAAGGAAATCTGCTCTTCTATGAGTGGCCTAGACCAGGGATCAGCGAACTGTTTTTGTAAATAAAGTTTGATTGGAACACAGCCATGCCTGTTCACTTACATACTGTCTATGGTTGCTTTCCTGCTACAACAGCAGAATTGAGTAGTTGCCACAGGAACTGCATGGCTCATAAGCCTAAGATATTTACTCTCTGACCTTACAGAAAAAGTCTGTCAACCCCTGACCTAGACTATTATGACTCTAACCACAACAGCCCCCACGTATACATTTATAGGTGCACTTATATATTTTTTTCCTGGTCCAAGGTGCATTCCATTTTCCCCAAACACTAACTCTGGACAGCACTATGGGCTGTCATGCCTGTCCTGCTAACTGCCAGTCAAACGGGAGCATCTCAAAGGAGCAAGATCCTGTGAGGCAAGTCCTATAATATCCTCCTCAATATCAAGATGAATACAGCTTGTCCATGAGAGAAATGAACAATCCTCGAAGATTCCATCTTACCCTCACAGGCAGTCCCCATTATTCCCAGTCATGTATTCGTTTCAGCTTATTTCCAACTCAGCTATCCTTGGCTCTGAAAAGCTGTCATCACTGGCATCACTGTATCTATCACTAGATTAAAAGAAGAACTAATTTAGCAAGGTATAAAAAAAAACCGGGACAATTATTCAATTTGCAATTTCAAACACATTCCATATTAACCCCTTAGTATGAGAGAAAATACTAAGGAACATTCTTTTAGCACTTTCTAATCACCACAGGAAGAGGTCAGTCCAATCACATGCAATGGCCTCTTTCTTTGGTCAGAGAAACTGATCACTTGTTTTCATCATAAACTGGAAGTTACTTATTCAGAAAATTTTAAAACGCATTTCAACTTAGACTGACATTTATAATCTTCTGAAGACCACTGATCATTTCTAAACTTGAGTGAAAGCCTTGAAAGTAGATTGCCTTCCTGCCACCATAGCTATTGCTTGCTTTCTACTAGATGTGTTATATTAACAAACTGATTTAAAATGAAAGCCTGAGTTGATGGACCCATTTATTTTCTGTGAATCTACTCTTGTCATACTAGGGCCTAGATCTCAGTCCATCTGAGGTTGAGCATCACTTAGTTCTACTCCTACTGATGTCAATTTGTTCTTCAATGTAATAACATAGCATACGATATTATCTGGATTTTCAGTTTATTTGTTTTTTTCGTTCTTCACTCTTCTGATGACAACTGTTTCCTTTGGCAATGAGGGAGTTCAGGACACACTACCCCAAAATATGGCATCTTGGCATATTGCATGTGGCCCATAAGCCTAACATATTTACTCTGTAACCTTACACAAAAAGTCTGTCAGCCCCTGACCTAGACTATTATGACTCTAACCATAACAGCCCCCACATATACATTGCATGAAGCTGAAGGAATTTGAGACAGCGTGTGCAAGAAGTTCTCTCTGACCTTCCTCTGACCTTACCCCCCGAAGCAGGTCATAACACCCAGGAAGGATTTTTTGACCTTCTCTGAAGCAGGTCAAAAGGCCCTCAGGTGAGAGGTACCCCCAACCCCCATAACCAGAGGAAACGAGCATCCTTATCTCTGAAGACACAGGATCCCAGGGAAGAATCTGAATAAACAGGCCTTACTAAGTTCCCCTACTATATTACCATGAGATCACACTCTTTTTGCTCTATTATAACTCTCCATGAGTCTCTAGTCTTCATCAGGTCTGTTTTAGAAACACTAGAGTTTACCTGTTTCTTTGAGTCTTCATTTCCTTATGAAGGTTCCCACAATACTTAAATAAATTTGTATGCTTTTCTCTCTCTTTTTTAGAAATGGGGCCGGAGTGTGTGTGTGAGGGTGGGGAGGTGGTGCCTCACTGTTGCCCAGGCTAGTCTCCAACTCCTGGCCTCAAAGGATCCTCCCACCTCAACCTTCCAAGTAACTGAGATTATAGGCACCTGCTGCTGTGCCCAACTGTATGCTTTTTGCTTGTTAATCTGTTTTTTTGTTATCAGGGCCTCGGCCATGAACCTACGATGGGTAGAGAAAAAACTCTTTTCTCCCCTCTAGCAACATGAAAGGACTAGAGAACAGTGAACACAGCTGCGTATCCCTGATTACATTAGCCAAATGCTATAATTATTTTCAGCTGCAGTTTGGCTTTTGGCTCTGTGTTTTAAGGACCACAGCACCTCCCTAGATCCAGATCTGTGCTGGCCTCTGTGCTGGAGGATCACAGCGCCTCCTCATTACAGAGGAACTAGTCATCTACAATCAGCAAATTGCACAGGAGCTTGAACTTGGTGGTCATGAGGGCTAAGACATGCATATTGGCTCAAGACCCAGAAAACACCCTGCAGTGCCATAAAAAATGTGAACGTACTCTCTACACTTGCCTTGAAATCTTTTCTCCTTCAGACCATGTTTTCACTATGATTTTAGGTCAGCAGCATGAAAGTTTTCCCTTCCAACATTCTCATAGGTCCAAGAGTTGGAGAAATAATTTTCACAATCATGCAAATTTCAAAATTAGAAATATATGGAATGTCCCGATTACCTTGAGTCACAGACACTATTCAAAATAGGACCAATTATTGACATAAATATCGCCAGGTTGGGTTCCCTTAGAAATACACCTTCTCCATGAGATAGCTCTGCAACTCAACTTTCCCTCTGAGCTGTGGTCTCTGTTTGTGGTTCCTCTTACTCAGTTCCAAATAAATCAGCACACTGATCCACTCCACTAGAGTTCTACTGATCTATGGAGATGATATTACAAGGAAATGTTTAATGCCTGTCCCATCCCCAGGCTTGGCCAAACTTTTGCTGATTTATAGCAATAAAAGTTTGAATTCCCGGCCAGGCGCAGTGGCTCACACCTGTAATTCCAGCACTTTGGGAGGCTGAGGCTGGCGGATCACAAGGTCAGGAGATCGAGACCATCCTGCCTGTCATGGTGAAACCCCGTCTCTACTAAAAATACAAAAAATTAGGCAGGCGTGGTGGCGGGCGCCTGTAGTCCCAGCTACTCGGGAGGCTGAGGCAGGAGAATGGGGTGAACCCAGGAGGCGGAGCTTGCAGTGAGCCGAGGTCGCACCACTGCACTCCAGCCTGGGCAACAGAGCGAGACTCTGTCTCAAAAAAAAAAAAAAAAAAAAAAAAGTCTGAATTCCCTAACAGGTGAAATGTTACCTTTTTTTTTTTTTTTCCCGAGGAAAGGGAACAATTGGAGAAACCCTATGCTGAAAGACTAGAAAAGAAAGATTTCACTCTAAACATACTGACTGAATATTAATAAATAAACAAAATAATAGACAAATCTGTATAGACAAAAAGACAATCTGTTTCCTGATTTGCATGCTCACTCCCTTCTCTGACTTTTGAACAAAAACAGCATAGGTGGTGGGGACGGAGCACTAGAATAAAGAGAGGAGACAGAAGATTCAGAATTGGCAGAAAAGACAACATATGTTAGATAAACATATAAAACAACATACCCTGCAAACCAATCAAGTAGAAAGATACCTCCTAGTTAGGCTTTAGTTCAGAGAAATCACTTCTACTGGTACATAGGAATAACTGAACAATATTTGGGGGGAAAAAACAACAGCCAAAAAAGTTGATACATCCTATCCATGCACTCTCCCTGCTCAAACGAAGAATCCTTTCTGGTTCCATGCAACATTTTGTCATAGAATTAGCCAAGAAAGGGGATTTGGAAGTTGCACTCAACTCCCTATCTGAGATGAAATGAAGGTCAAGGATGTTCAAGTGACTTACTTGGCACATAGATCCTTCAAGGTGAAGCCAGAATTCCCATTATACTAGCTCAGGGCACAGGGTGGGGTTTAAGCTGTGCTGCAGGTAGGGCAGTAGGACCCACTAGGGCATGTCCTCTAACACAAGTGACAAGGGCCAAAGGACTGAGGAAATTTCATTTGCTTGGGTGCCAGATTTTACACCCACTTCCGTCCCCATCTCCAAGCCTAGAGAAGAATACAGTGGGCTCATATCTTCCCCCGACACTCCTGGTTGTACTATTTATGAGCCACGTACCTTTGGACAAGTCATCGACTTCTGAGTCTAGAAAAAGTGGCAATAATACCTGCAAACTCACCAAAATGTTTTGAGAGTCAAATTAAACTGTATAAACTTGCTCTGAAAACTATACAAAAATATAAGATGTTGCTATTGATGGGGGTTATACATTCATAACTTGGTATCTCCTCAAAAAGTCATGGAAACACAAAGAACCAATAAAAACTGCTAAGTGTATGATTTTCTGAATTGTTTCCTATGCCAAGTATAATTTCCTACCCACATTAGCAAGTGGACTTGGGCGGGCCTGTTTCTAACCTAACAGCTCTCATTTCCTATCTGATGGCTGTCTGCCCCAAGCTCTGCCAACACATCCAAATGGCACAGGCTGAGTTTAACAAAATGAAGCTCAGCTTGAATTTATTCATCTCCAAGGTTAATGACTGGGTTCACTAATTGTCTTTCATATGTGTTCAGAGACTGGGGGTAGGACAATAAAATAAACCATGACACTCAAGAACAGAATTATCAAAATATACGTTACTGCTGAACTTGCTGATTTTAGGACATTCATCTGCCAATAAAAAACAACTGCTAGAAATAAAATGTGGGTCATCTGAATGCAGACCAACAGTGGCTCTTGCACATGCAATAAAATGTGAGTGTATTCTGTGCTACATATGGGCTGTGAGTGCTACTCTATGCCGGATTCATTTCTGTTTCACACAGAACAAACTTAAGTCAAAAGCTAGATGTATCTGGGTATATTTTCATTTAATTCAAGACATCCAGCTGTATCTTAGGACTAACCGATCTTTTTAAGTAATCTTTTATACACACAAACACACACACATGTTTCTCACAGGGAAGAATTATCAGATATTAGAGTCTTGCATGTTAAATTGTATGAAGTGGCATAAAATACAGATATGTCCCTATGTGTCTTGTTACATTTGAACACGGGAAATTTTTAATTTATTTGTTTATTTAAGACAGTGTCTCAGTCTTTCACCCGGGGTGGAGTGCAGTGGCATGATTTGGGCTCACTGCAACCTCCGCCTCCCAGGTTCACGCAATTCTCCTGTCTCAGCCTCCTGAGTAACCAGGATTACAGGCGCCCACGACCATGCCCGGTTAATTTTTTATATTTTCAGTAGAGATGGGGTTTCTCCATGTTGGTCAGGATGGTCTCAAACTCCTGACCTCAAGTGATCTGCCCGCTTCGGCCTCCCAAGAAGAGGGGAAAATTTTTAAACTGCACTGTCCAATATGATAGCCACAAGCCACAGTGGCTATCTAAATTTAAATCAGTTAAAATGAAATAAAATTTAAAATTCCATTCCTCACTTGCACCTGTCACACTGCAAGTGCTCAGTAGCTATGTGTGCCTAGTGCCTACCATGTATGATACTGCAGATTATAGAACATTTCTATCAGTGCAGAAAGTTATATTGGATAGTACTGATCTAAAAACAAATGAATAATGATTTTTAAAAAGCAAACTACAGTCACCATGCAATGGTCCTTGTCATTTCCTTTTAAAAAAAATTTTTTTGGCCTCGCCGCCCCGCGTCCAGCTCGCCCAGTGTCCGCCGCGCCTCGGCCAAGGCTTCAACAGACCACACCAAAATGCCGTCTCAAATGGAGCACGCCATGGAAACCATGATGTTTACATTTCACAAATTCGCGGGGGATAAAGGCTACTTAACAAAGGAGGACCTGAGAGTACTCATGGAAAAGGAGTTCCCTGGATTTTTGGAAAATCAAAAAGACCCTCTGGCCGTGGACAAAATAATGAAGGACCTGGACCAGTGCAGAGATGGCAAAGTGGGCTTCCAGAGCTTCTTTTCCCTAATTGCGGGCCTCACCATTGCATGCAATGACTATTTTGTAGTACACATGAAGCAGAAGGGAAAGAAGTAGGCAGAAACGAGCAATTCCCTCCTCCCTGATAAGAGTTGTCCCAAAGGGTCACTTGAGGAATCTGCCCCACAGCTTCCCCCATAGAAGGATTTCATGAGCAGATCAGGACCCTTAGCAAATGTAAAAATAAAATCTAACTCCCATTTGACAAGCTGAGAAAGGAAAGTTAAATACCAGATAAGCTTTTGATTTTTGTATTGTTTGCATCCCCTTGCCCTCAATAAATAAAGTTCTTTTTTAGTTCCGAAAAAAAAATAAAAAATAAAAAAATAAAAAAATTTTTTTGAGACAGGATCTTGCTCTGTCACCCAGGCTGGAGTGCAGTGGCACGATCACAGCTTACTGCAGCCTCAACCTCTGGACTCAAGCAATTCTCCCACCTCAGCATCCCGAGTAGCTGGGACTACGGCACACGCCACCATGCCCAGCTAACCTTTTATTTTTATTTTTTGTAGGAATGGGGTCTCACTATGTTGCCCAGGCTGGCCTAGAACTCCTGGACTGAAGCAATACTCCCACTTCAGCCTCTCAAAGTACTGGGATTACAGGTGTGAGCCCCCATGCCTGGCCAAAAGTTTTTTTTAAAGGTCTATCTACCATTAATTAAAATCACAGCAAATATCTCTTATGCATGCATGTGCCTCCCAAATCATGAAAACTCTCTTTTTAAAACGTATTTTATGGTACCTTTCTTGCAAGACAAAACCAAAATCACCAGCAGCAACACAAAAGAATCACTATACTGACAAGACTTTACCACAATGGTCAACATATAGTTCTTTTCTTTTTCTTTTCTTTTCTTTTTTGAGACAGAGTTTTGCTCTTGTTGCCCAGGCTGGAGTGTGATGGCGTGATCTCAGCTCACCACAACCTCCTCCTCCGGGGTTCAAGCGATTCTCCTGCCTCAGCCTCCTGAGTAGCTGGGATTACAGGCATGTGCCACCACGCCCAGCTAATTTTGTATTTTTAGTAGAGACAGGGTTTCTCCAAGTTGGTCAGGCTGGTCTCAAACTCCTGACCTCAGGTGATCCGCCCGCCTTGGCCTCCCAAAGCACTGGAATTACACGCGTGAGCTACTGCACCTGGCCCCCCTTTTTTTTTTCTTTTGAGACAGAGTCTCACTCTGACACGCAGGCTAGAGCACAGTGGTGTGACCTTGGCTCACTGCCACCTCTGCCTCCCAGGTTCAAGCGATTCTCGTGCCTCAGCCACCCAAGTAGCTGGAATTACAGGAAGGCACCACCACGCCCAGCTAATTTTTGTATTTTTAGTAGAGACAGGGTTTCGCCATGTTGGCCAGGCTGGTCTTGAACTCCTGATCTCAAGTGATCCGCCCACCTCAGCTTCCCAAAGCATTGGGATTATAAACTGGGATTACAGACCCACTGTGCCTGGCCAACATGTGGCTCTTGACAAACGAAAGGTTTGTCATAGTGAAGTTTGCTTGTCAAGGACTTCTGGTTCCCAATAAATTCCCCACATAAGAAAACAGATATTCCAAGGTGCTAGGGAAAGGGTATAGGAATGCCTCATATAGTCCACCTTTACACTACCCCAAGGCAGCTGTTAAGCCATTTCTTCTCCATTAACAGAAAGAAGTGGTTGGAATTTAAAATCTTTAAATTTAAAATCTTTAAATTCCAACCACCAACCTAATAATTATTATCCAACCTAATAATGCGTAATGGCATTATTAGGATTCCCAGCATGCATGAGTTCCTTACAATACTTTATATTAAAATCCGTTTCCTGTGAAACAGCATGTTTTAAAAACAGGTTGTCATGCACACAGTTTTCCCCAAAGCAGTGTTACTACTATACTTATTTCCTTCACAAAGGGCCCCTGGAAGCCATAAAATATAAGAGCAATGGAACAAAAACCTAGTCTGCTTTGAATGAGTTTTGTATTTCATAGTAAACAGTAGAATACCACCCAGGCAGGGTGGTAAAAGCACACGGTAGTCTGTAGTACTATTAACTCCATTCCTGTCTGGCACCACACCATCCACACTGCAGTGCACCACGATCTAGTTAAAAGGAGCACCTTTTAACCAACATTCATCCCGCCCCAAGGGAAGGTGTACTCAAATGTGGTTCATTAACAATAATTTACCCTAAAAAATATCTCAAGGTATGGAGTTGAAGTCAAATAATCACAGGGGTAAACGTTTTTTTAAATGTTTAAAAGAACTGTTCGAAAGAAAGCAAAATAGAATATTTTGTTAATTTCAGTTCACTTTTGCTTGAGGTGTAACAAAGCGGGGAAAGTGGCATTTTGATAGCAGTTGAGTTTATAAAGCACCACCTCAACTGTTCCTCACAGCGACCCTAAGGAGGAGGATCAGGAGGTTTAGGAGTAGTGACTTGGACAAAATTACTCAATAAGCAGCAGACCCAGAAGTCAAATCCATAGCATCCACCCTACTCGTCAATACTGTCCCCACAGAAATAAAATATTTTTGCACCACATGGTGCAGGAATGGCCCCTGGCAACATCAACCATGCACCTCAAAAGTCAAAAAGCAAAGTGATTCCAAGTTTGAAACAAAGTGATTCCAAGTTTCAAACAGTGCTGGAAACAGAATGTCGGATTTGTGCAAGGGAAAAGAGTACCTTACTCTCCAAGTCCAAGAGACAGCAGAGCCACCCAACGTAAGAGAAACATGCCTGGGAGGGTGAAATGCACCCTCTGTGAACAATGGAGGAGCCACTCTCACCTGCGATTCACCTAATAATTCACCTTCGATTCACCACCTTGTCACCTCTGATTCACCTCGTTCACCCAACGATTCCGTGAACAACCATTCTAATAGGACATAGATCCCTATTCCCCTCTCGCTAAGCAGGTCAGGAATGTGTATCAAGAGGCAACAGGCAAAACCCTCTGGGGAGTTCAGGGAACTGCAAGTTGCTCCATATGGATTTGTGTGCATTGTATCCTATAAACCAAGGGAAGCCATGGGGGGATTTTAAGTTCCAAAATAATGTGGGGAGATCATTCCAACAGCAGAAGATGGATTGGGAGGAAGCAAGCTGGAGGCAGAGAGACCAAGTAGGAGGCTTTGCAGTAGGAAAGAGATAGATACTGGAACTAAAGGAAAAGTAATAATAAGAGCATCATCATCATAATTCCCATTTAAGTTCCTACCATAGACCAGGCACTATGCTAAGTGCTTTACATTTAGTGTGAAACTTAATCTTCATTTCTGCCATGTCAAGTAGGGACTATTACCATCCCCTTTTTATAAAGAAAGTGATGCACAGAAGAGCAAGGTCATAGGCAGCTGGGAAATAAAAGAGCCAGTTTGAACTCGGTTGACTCAGCTAGAGTCCTGACTCCGGGCCATACTCCCTTGCAGCATGGCAGAAAATAGACAAAAGATGGAGTCAATGCCAACAACAAGAATTGACAGCACCTGCTGACTATGAGCAATGGGGATGAGGGAGGAGGAATCTGAGCTTCCCCAGGGGAGTCCAGGCAGGTCACACTGTGTGGGTGATGGTACCACTTGCAGGAAGATATTAATCTTAATGTTAGTTAATCCTGGCAACCTGGGAGCATTCCCTGGGTTGCAACCACGAAAGAGAGAACAAGCTCTAATGCCAGCATTTCCCACACTGCTGGGACTGTGCGCTTGCAGGTCTGTGCCCTTTCCTGGATGGGAAGGTCTGTAGCTGAAGACCCCTAGAAGACAGTCCATGGATGCAGGGGAGGGGTAGCATTGGGGGTATGAATGTAAGGAAACAATGAAGTGGTATGTTTGGGCAGTTTTCCAGGAAGTGGGCCCACAGCTTTGATCACAATCTCGAAAGTCTGTCACCTCCCAAAATTTAGAGAACAGTTATACTACCTGATGAGTCCCCAGGTCAGGGAACATGTTCTTATTCAAGTGCTTATTCAAGCACCCAGCACAGTGACTGGGATAGAATAAGCTTTAACACAGGGGGTGTGTTGAGTGAATGGTGAAGTGTGCAGTCATTAAAAATGAACTTCATGCAACTTGGAAAAATGCATATGAGGTGTTAAGTTCAAAATACAAGCTTCTGTAATTAATAAAGAATTTATGGTGCTATTCCAAGAACATACGAATATTCTGTTTCTTACAACTTTCACCCAGTGGCTTTAGCATCCACTGACGACCCTTATTTGAATCCATTATTACATCAGAGATGATGTCTACATTTTTAATTGGCTTTTTTTTTCTTTACTTTTGTATTTTCTGAGTATTATTATGGACGCATGGAATTTCAGAAAATGAAATGTGTTGTAATCTAATACTGTCATTGTTCTTTTTGATGTTCAAATTGTCCAAAATAAGGCCAGTGGGAGCCCCCTCAATCTGGCTTCTTTGACCTTGGAAAACTCATACCCCATTCATTTTCAGCTGTTCTCTGCTTTAAATACAGCAATATGTTCCAGGCTCATCTTGTACTCTCCCTCCCCTAGCCCTGGAATCAACCATTTCTTCCAGGAGCCCTAGTTCATTTCAAATTTTTGGTATTTAAAAACCAAAATAGACCAAAGAGACCGCGTGCTCCGCCTGTAAATAACACAAAGCATTATGGAGGCTAAGAAGGCGGGTGGATCATGAAGTCAGGGAGTTCAAGACCAGCCTGGCCAAGATGGTGAAACCACATCTCTACTAAAAATTAACAAATAAAATTAGGGGCCGGCGTGTGTGGGGTGAGAGTGCCTGGTCTCCAGCACTCTGGGAGGCTGAAGCAGAGAATTGCTTGATCCGCCGGTGAGGCGGGAGATTTCAGTGAGCGGATCAGCCTGCCACCCAGCCTGGCGTGACAGAGCGAGACTTGTCTCAAAATAAATAAATAAATAAATAAATAAATAAACTAAAAAAATAAAACCAAATAGAGAGAAATGTTCCTTTGCAAAGGAGATCTCCAAGACCGTCACTGTATCACTCTTTCATCTTTTCTGTAGGTTTGTAAGTTTTCAAAATAAAAGAGTTTGGGGGGTGTGTGTATATATATCTAGATAGATAGATAGATAGATAGACAGACAGACAGATAGATAGATACACTCACTATTATTATCACAACCACAGAAAGAATCATATACAGGTATAGGCTCACAGGAAATATTTGAAAATGAGCACAGTAATTATGTTAGGCTGGTGGGTTTGCGGGTGCCTTTTTTTTTTTCTCTCTCTCTCTCTCTTTTCTAAATTTTCTGTAATGCTACATGTAGAAGTCAACAGAAAACAAAACCATCCCAGGCTAGAAGTCA